TTTCACATTCTGTTCATCCATAATAAAATTGGACTGATCAATGAGATTCATCATTTCATGTTCATTATTATTCAATAGACAGGCACCATTTTCAAACACTTGAAGCAACTGAAGTAACTCCGTACGATATACAAGAAAATATTTCATTTTATCTTCAGGTGTAGAATAATTGTGCAATAACTGAAGAACAAAATTAACATTCAATGATTGTATTTTATGTTGATCGAGAAATAAAAGGATTTGATCATGAAAGTATTGTTGAAATAGATAGTCATTTGTCATTATATTTTGAGAATAAAAATGCCCGTGAGAATGAACACTCTTTTTTTCCAATTGTTTCAAAGCCATAGTCGCATTAATCCGTTCATCATGAAGATCATCGGATATTTGTGTAAGAATTTTATATTCAACAGGTGAATAGGGAAATCGTAAATCGAATACAAATGGTATCTCAATATATTCGTTTATATTCAATCGATTTAATTTTGTTATTTTATCAATAATGAAATCTAAACATTGGAACCAGATTTGATAGTAAGGATCATTGGTATCGTGTCCTTGAATGAACAAGTAACTATCAATCATAGCTGTTCGTTCAAGATGAGAGAATAAAATGAGAAAATAAGTATCATAGAAATAGGTCAATGTCAATTGAAACGCATGTTCAAATGATCGACACATAGCAGCGATTGTGCCGTTAGTGATCAGATCTTTTCGCCAGTCACCAGATGAGAACAAATTCTGTTTGCAATTTTTTATCAAAAAATCAATTTTTTCTCCTACAATCGTTTGTAACTGCTCGTTAGTCAATAATTGTAATAAGTTATTACGTCGTGTATTGATATTCATTTGTAGTGAAGTATTCGAAATATCGTAACGAAATTTGGACAAGCAACGGTCAAGTAATTCAGCGAACATGGAACTCGATGCAGAATACGAAACATATTTAATAACATCTTCATACTTTGGATTTTGCAGAATGTTTTCTGTAATGAATATTTTATCACTATTTTTATTTAAATTATCTATCATATCGATTGACCATCCGTTGAAGAGAACATTATTTTTTTCATCTTTCAATAAATTTCGTTGTAGATGAAATATTATCCAAATATTTTTCAACAATAAATCAGCCTGAAAATAGCAAAAAAAGTTAAATAAAATATCTTTCAGTCTATTTCTTTTACAAAATCATCTATCTTTGTCAATTTCGATATAAATCTAATGTAAATGAAATACTCAGAGATCAAGATAGGCGATCAAAACGAGAAACATCAATTTTTTAGATCTTGCTCTACAATTTAATGATTACTTATCTCGTTCCAGGCAAAGCTAATTACAATTTGCAATGCTATATAGAAAATAACGACTCCATACCTTCCGTTATTGTTCATCTTGAGTATATTCATTGAATACATTCATTACACAGTGTTTCAGTGTGAGAATATGCTGTCTTTCATTATGAAAATTAACACGAATAAATAAAAATTTGACATTTTTAGCTTGAATAAACTGTTTCAGTTTAATTCCTAATTCTAATTCAGATGTGAAATTAGCCAGTTTAATTTCTTCTACAACATCTTCAGAAATAGTCGGATAATTGATTTTTTCGTATATTTGTGTGTATGTGTATATGATTTGTTTAATTGATATGTTGGCTTTTTGTATTAATTGGCAAAAGGTTCGCTGAGATTTAATTTGATAATAGTGTCTGATCAAATCTTTATGTTTATTATTATCCAAAGCGAGTATTAATGCTAAATCTTGTGTACTTGAACGGAGAAAATGTTCTAAACAATAATCAATGACCGTATTTCCACTTGTATCATCTTTACTATCGCAATTATCACATGCATCTAAGACTAGATTACATACGTAATCGCAGCTAAAATTGACAATTATATGTTGAGCCAATAAAAAATGTTTAGGTATCGATCGTAGTTGTAACAGATTATTAATCCAACCCAATAATGTATCGGTAATTTTCAATTGTTGTGATGTGACCAGATCATAAAAATGAATAACATGCTTTTCAAATCGATTTAGAAATGGAGCAGCTGCTTTTTCCACATCTTTTGCCGTGACCAATACGACACAATAGAATTGGTCATGCACCAAACATCGGGGATTATATGTAGCACCTAATGCAATTCGACAATATTTTCTTTCACCGTACAATGAAAAATTTTGATTAAATAGATCATATAATGCTCCATATAAATCATCCATTCTACGTAATATCAATGTGATATTAGTTTCAGCGTACAAAATAATATTCATCAAAACACGATATCCGTATGATTCTTTATTCAAATCATTCAACATTTGACTACCAATAAGTGTTCTAACGTTATGTTTGTGCTGATTCAGATAACGTTCAATATAATCAAACAAACTTTCAGTTTCCGATATTAACATTAAATATCGTCCATTTCGATATGATAAACTATGATCAATAAATTGTTTTACATATGGTGGTTGATAATCATTTAGGATTTCATTTCTATTCAAATATTCACAGAAACTTTTCCACATATATTCGGATCCATCAATGATACCATCAAAATTAATTTTCATTTGCTTTCGAATAATTGCATATTGTTTTGATTGTGTAAATTCGTCAGTTTTTTCATCATCAAAGTCTTTTATAATTCCTTTAATCAATGAATAATAATCACGTAAACCGAAATAATTTTCATTTCTTTTTTCCAATTTCAAACTTATTAATAAATCAAAATAAGCGTTGGCTAAATTCAGCATCATTTCATCAGTCAAATAAATTGTATTATCGGTAAGACTGTTACGAATGATCTGACCAGTCAGACTTAGGTCGTCAACATCAGGATCGGGACAAGCCAGAAATAGAAGACGATTCATTTTGGATGCATCAAGACGATAATTGGTAATGCCAACAAATCCATATTTACAATTTTCAATTTCTAATTCCGCATGAAGAACTTTCAGTGGATTATATGGTGAAAACTCAGCTAGACCAATTTCATCAAATACAATTACCGATAACAAATTTGTCTCTGATTTAATTTCATTAATTTTCTTTGCGCGTTCAAATACTTTTTCAATACTTTCTGATGTGCATGTTTTTGAACCTTGATATGATACTGGACGTAGTTCAGGCAGAGTTTGAAAGTATTTATCATTAGACTTTTTTCCTTTTATATTGTTGAGTACAATTTGTACAGCCGATGTTTTACTACAGCCAGGCTTGCCACATAAGATAATCGGTATACGATTGATAATACAAACCAATACGGTGAATATATTATTACGTAATGCATGATTTTTTGCTGTACCTCTTGGTAAAATCATACGTTGAATAAAATCGTTTTCTTCATCTTCTAGTAACTTTTCTACATTAAGATTCTTGAGATGATTAGGTAAGTTAGACTGTAATAGTTCACGATACTGTTGTTTATCTTGAGGAAAATATAAACGTAAATAGTAACAGAATAATAGAGCCAATAATGCTGCTCGTACTTCGACAGATAATGGGAGTGTTATTGTTAATTTTCGATGTTCAATAGATTCGTGAAACCAGTTATATAGCTGACGATAACGAACAACATCACGCAAACTGACACTAGATACATCTTCGATTTGTCTGATATATTTCTGTGATTCACATATTAAAGTCACGATTGTGCTGTACCAGCTCTTGTCTGCTGCTAAACTGTTCTCACATTGATTAATAATTGTTTTGATGTACTTTCGTTCAGCAAGTGGGGTTAAAAATCCAAAATCCCAAATGTGTTCAATCATTGTTTCTGGAATGGGTACGACTGTATATAAAAGTCGATCATTGTTTGTCAGTTGTTGCATTTCATATCGATCAATGGACAGACCAATGTTATTTCGATCAGTATTTGCATTGTCGTCACGTTTCATTTTCATACGACTCGGATTACATGCGCCTAAAAGAACAAGATTGTTCGGTAATGATCTTCCTAATAGTGTACGTTCGCATGTAATTTCTTTGATTAAACCTATATATTCTGTGGTATTAAATTCATCAAAAAATACCCACAAACGTTTTGGAGCAGTAAATTGATTGGCTTTTGCAATGCAATCTTCTATTTTATTGATGATTTGTAAACTTGTGACACCGGCATGAATACGTAATACTTTCAATTCATCATCGAGAATTGTTTGGCATAAAAATCTGATTAA